ACTTCCATGAGATCAACTTTTTCTAGCTTACATTTTTTGAGTGAGAAAGCAGTAGAAAAGAAAATGTGGATGGCTTTAAAAGGAAAAAAAGGGAAAACACAGCCCTCTCTCCAAATACTCCAATCTTGTGAATTGGAAAAAAAAAAGTTTAAATCATTTTTTTAAATCAGTTGCTATCTATTTGTATATATACCCACAGAAAACCATAGTTAAAATATTATAATTCTAAGACATATGTACAGAAAGGCAAATGCTAGGGGGAACATATTAAAATGGCATATTAAACATATTAAAACATTTGCCTTTTAAACATATTAAAAGGCAAATGCAAAATGACATTTTGCAGTCTTATACAGCGATTTAATTTATACGCCATCCGTATATCGGTGATCTGGACTCTCTTGATCCACCTAAAAAGCACACTACTTAGCATTTATCTAGTGCTTTCTAAGTAGACATCTAATGTTCTTTTTAATTAATCATTCTATTAACTCTTGTCACACTAATAGAGACAGCAACCAACCTGAACCATCTGGGGCAGATGAGCAATGGAGATACACAGAAAGCTAAGTTGCACTGAAAATAATTTTTTGAGAAAGAACAATGGGAGTTGTCGAGTTCTCCAAATTATAGGTTATAAAGCTCAGTTAAATTACTTTTTTTGTACAATATAGACACAAATGACAAAATGGCAGTTCTACATAACTGTAAAACTCGAACTGACCAAACACTGACTTGGTAAGAGCAGAGTGGGTACTGATCTTATTATAATGATGTTTAGGAGAAGAGTTGAAAATAGAAAGGGTTTCTGAATTAGCCCAGCACCAACCAAGTAATCCAGGGATCCAGATCGCTCCAATACCCAGTGAGTTGTCCCCTTTGGCCCCTCCTAGTTGTGACCCACCCAAGAGAAGTATTGTATTTCCCTAGTCGACATTGTTCCCACTTTGACACAGCCTATCATATACTTTTTTTGTAAGTTTATGATTATCTCCTCCATTAAATTTTTAATTCTTGGGGACCAAAAATCTCATTTCTCTTTGTATGTTCAAGTGCTATTAAGCACATAGTAAGTATTGAACAAATGCTAAAGCAACAAATAAGTAATCCCATGATTACTTAAAACTGAGGTGCCTGCATAAATCAGCAAGGCACTAAAATGATAAATTCATCCTCTAAGAATTGTTCAAATACCTTAAACTCAGTCTCAAATGAGTAAAAAAAAAAAAAGTGTCTTGACTTGCTTTCAAGAAATGAGCAATGTTAAATCAAATTCTTGCTAGATTATTTTCATGGTAATAGTTTTTTATAGCTTCTTATTGTAAAAGTTATAACATTATTTCAAAATTTAAAGTATAAATAAATATAAATACAAGGAGATAAAGAATATTTATAATCTTATTACTCAGAGTTGGTTTCATACTTTAGCTCATATACTTAAAAATGTGTAAATAATTATATTATGTGTAGTTTTATGACAAATTTCAATGCTAATATCTCTATCATTAAAAAAATATATGGAAGTACCACAAGTACCACAATTTAGTCTGTTTTAGTTTTTTGTTTGTTTTTGAGACGTAGTCTGGCTCTGTCGCCCAGGCTGGAGTGCAGTGGCGCCATTTCGGCTCACTGTAACTTCTACCTCTGGGGTTCAAGCACTTCTCCTGAGGCTTTTGAGTAGCTGGGATTATAGGCACCCGCCACAGTGCCTGGCTACTTTTGTATTTTTAGTAGAGACGGAGTTTCACCATGTTGGCCAGACTGGTCTTAAATTTCTGACCTCAAGTGATCTGCCAGCTTTGGCCTCCGAAAGTGCTGGGATTACAGGTGTGAGCCACCGCACCTGGCCTGTTTTAAACACCAACTCTCCCTAGTCCTTGACTATTATTATCAACTCATTAACAGTCAAAATACATACAATAGTCTTTGCCTACTTCTTATTACTTGAGGATAAATGTCTACAAGAGGCATTGTTACATGCATATTTTGACACGGAGTGTTAAAATTACCATTGTAACTGTACACGATTTACAGTCTCTCAAGTAATACACGTATGCCTGTTTCCTTACCCCTTTCCTACACTGAGCATTACTAATCTATTTCCAGTAAACTGTCAAATTAATCTCAGAGAAGACTTGGAGACAGGTTTATTCACATAGTTTATTTTCTCTCATGTAGCAAAAGGCAATAATAATAAAAGTCAATCTTTACTTTTAACTCATGATATTTATTATACAATCGGCCTCTCATAATAATCCTTATTTTTATAACTCTGCAACAGGGAAGGAACAATAAAATTTAATTCCAATATTGCTAAACCTAGGATAATTTTGTAGACTAGAGTGTCTAAGTGTCATAGTAACAATGGCTGAAAGGATGCTTTTCATACCAACTGAAATATATGGATTATCTTGGTATATTGATTACTTTTCTACTGTAAAACAAAACAAAACTCTTCTAAATTTATTTTACTTTATTAGTTTTGGCCACATGAGAAACAGCAAGAAATTCTACTGCCAGTCCTCCAAATAGGTAATCAGATATATCTGTGGTTATCTTCCCTCCATAAACAATTCCTAGTGATTTTGCTAACTATAATTCTGTAATATAAACCCTTTGGGTCTTACTCCTATAGACATCCCAGAATACATGCACTCCACACAAAGAGATAAATGACAGTTATCTTCTGTAATCAAGCTCCTGCCAACTTAAGCTGAGGTAAGTAATGTATGAGAAAGATAACCTAACGGCAAGACTGGCAAGTCATTCTACTATGTGTACTAAGCGCTTTCTCCACATCAAGTAACCAGATTTACAATTATTTAAATTACTATATGAAGACTTTCATGGAATAATGATTTACTATTTTGACTTGTAACAAGACTAAGTATAAGAACATCACTATCTATTCATGACTAATAATGTACCTGTATGTAACTCACATAAAAATACTATTAAACATATTATTGCTTTACTTTATACAAAGACCCTAATGAAAAGTCTTATAATTAATTATATAAAGATAATTTTCTCTCAACACATAAATATTATCAGGTTTCTCTATTTGCTGTATCTTTGAGGAAGCTATTAATATTATAAGACCTAAACTTAACTCCAAATACAAAATATACTTTTACATTTGTGTTTCTAACTTAGCTTTACATAGCCTTTTAATCCATTTTCAAAGTTAGGATTGCTTAATTCCTTTTTGAAACAAAAAGCATAAGCAATACATAAATAATTAATGGCACTGCTTTTATACCCAATTTTTATTATCTACCATAAAGATGAGATCATGTACAAACAACCAGAAATCAAGAGCCACAAACCCACATATGCATTTGGAATTTACTCAGAATTATGTTTGAAAATACTCATGCACTAACATTTGCCTGTTGTTTCCAGATTATCCTAAAGTTTGGTCCAAGATAAAGTTGTTCAGATTTTCTGATTTAGATCACAGCTATATACTCTAGGAAAACACGGATGCCTACCTCATTTGAGTCTTAAATGGGGCCAGGGATTTCTTATTATTAAGGAAAGGAAATTATTAGTTCATATTTTAAATACAGAAACAGAAAATATCATTCCAGATTAATCGATTCGACTCTAGGTGAAAACAAATTTATATATTAAAACAAATTAACTGATCCATATTTAAAATAAGTAACACCATCATATTGAAGTGAGTGGAAGTGGGTGTGAGAAGAGAACTAACCAAGTGAATTTTGAGTATAGAATTAGGCATATAAAACATAAATAATGCTAAAAGTCTACTTATTGAAATGCTTTTCTTTGCTTTACTTCTCTTTTTCCATAGAGGTGTGAGTGGGTAATTCTGAAACTAATTTCTGAAACTACATTCCACAGGTAAGAAAATCCTATCCAATATCTAATATATTGTGAATAATGGGAGCCAGGCTTCTCACTGTAACTTCTCATAGAGTTACAGATATGAAAATGGAAAAGAATAGAATGAGCACTGCAATGATGGATTATCATTGTGAAATCCTAGGTTTAATATATACAAATATCTGAAAATACCCATGGATATAGGTATGTGTGGGTATGTATATATATGCACACATTTATATATGAGTATGTACTTACATATACTTTTTCCCTAGATCTGTCTACTAATAGGACCTAGAAGCAAAAGCACACCCACTCTCCAAATTTTGATTTCTAAAAACCATTCTTTACTGAAAGGCACCAGAGAGCCCTAGAAAAGTAGCTGATTCCAAGGCTTGGAGAAAAGAACAAGAGTCTCATATCTAAAGCCAGAAAGTAAAAAAGTATTCAAAGAATGACAGTAACATGTTAAAATGACAAAGGAGTCAACTAGAAGTACCTTGTACTGTCCAAATCCAGGACAGTATGAGGATTAAAATAATGATATTAACTAACAATACTAAAGGATAACAACCTGCTAAATAAAGAATTCATGACTCCACACAGAAACAAACAAGAAGAAACATTTTTATGCATAATAGAAAGCCAACTAATAAAAGAAGAAGAAATGACGAAATTACAAAATTTCCCCTTAGCAAACCACTATTGTTTGGATGTTTCCCCCAAAGTTCATGTCTTGGAAGCTTAGTCCAAAATGCAACAGTGTTAAGAGCTGGGACATTTAAGAGATGATTAGATCATGAGAGCATTCCCTTCATGAATTGATTACTTTATCGGTTATCATAGGAGTAGGTTCCTTATAAAAGAATGAGTTTGGGCCAGGCGCAGTGGCTCATGCCTGTAATCCTAGCACTTTGGGAGGCCGAGGCGGGTGGATCACGAGGTCAGGAGATCAAGACCATCCTGGCTAACACGGTGAAACCCCATCTCTACTAAACAAAATACAAAAAAATTAGCTGGGCGTGGTGGCGAGTGCCTGTAGTCTCAGCTACTCAGGAAACTGAGGCAGTAAAATGGCAAACCCGGGAGGTGGAGGTTGCGGTGAGCCAAGGTGGAGCCACTGCACTCTAGCCCAGGTGAGAGAGCGAGACTCCATCTCAAAAAAAAAAAAAAAAAAAAAAAAAAGAGTTTGGCCCCCTTCTCCCTATTTCTTGCCCATGTGATACTTTTCTTTATGTTATGATGCAGCAGGAAAAAGGACTGCACCAGACGTAGCCCCTTGATCCTGAACTTTCCAGCCTCCAGAACCATGATCCAGATAAATTCTATTCATTATAAATTACCCAGTCTATGGTATTCTGTTATAGCAGCATGAAATCAATGAAAACAGCAACCATAATAATATGGTTATTATTCATCATCAACGGATTCCAAAGCTATTGGGTAAGAAATTGAGGAATAACAGCGTATTTACACGGTCTCATATTATCACTGTACAAAATGCTTTTTAATTACAAAGGTCGAAAATAGAAACTTTACAGTGGAGAAATCTGGTAGACACCACTTTAACCAAATGATCAAAGCTAAAACTGTCAGTAATGGTACTAAACAACAGCATCTACCTCTGGATATAAGGACTTAGCATCACTACTGTGATATTCCTGCCCAAGTTGTATGACTGGACTATCATCCCCAGGAAACACAAAATAAACTCAAATTGAAAGATAGCTTATGCTTTAGACTGAATGTTTGCGTTGCCTCCAAATTTGTATGTTGAAACCTAATCAGCAATATGATGGTATTTACGGGTGTGGCCTTTTGGAAGTGATGAGATTATGAGGACAGAGCCCTCATGAATGGGATTAATGCCCTTATAAAACAGACCCCAGAGAACTCTCTTCCTTTCTGCCATGTAAAAACACAGCAAGGAGACAGCTATTTATGAGCTACAAAGCTGATACTCACCAGACAGAAAATCTGCTGTAGCACAGATCATGGGACTCCTCAACCTCCAGAACCGTGAGAAATAAATTTCTGTTGTTTATAAACCATGCAGACTACGGTAGTTTGTTATAGCAGCCCAAACAAATCAAGACAGTGTACAAAACAACTGGCATGTAATTCTTCAAAAATGTAAATGTCATGAAATAGTCTTTGATGAAGATTCAGAAACTGCTCCAGTTTAAAGGATATTAAAGAGACATGACAATTGATTGCAAAGCATGATTTTGTAATTTCATTGGCTATATAGAACATCATTGGGACAACTGAAATTTAGAATAAAGTCTGTAGATTAGATAAAAACATTTTATCTGTGTTAATTTGCTAATTTTAACCAATGAACTGTACCTATGTGTGGTAACTACATGATTTTAGGAATTATTTAAGTATTTAGAAGCAAAGGGGTATCATGTCTGCAACTTGCTCTTACTGTGTATCAATAAGCAAACGTGTGTATGGGTAGACGGATACATAGATGATTAGATAGATAGAAAGGTAGACATGAGAGACAGAGAGACTGAATAAAGTAAATGTAGTAAAATGTTTACATTTGGGGGATATTGGTGAAGGGTATCTGAGAATTCTTTGTGCTATTCTTGCTACTTTACAGTAAATCTGAAATTACATCAAATTAAAAATCAAAATCAATATAATATATTAACTTTAGGGCGTATAGATATTTAAAGTTAGAATTGTCAAGTGACATTCTGGTGAATGCTTCAACTAATTACAACTAGTTTCCAAACATTATAAAGCACACTCAGCATGAAATCCTGATTTTTGATACCTTACATATTTTGAAGACAACTAGATTTTTCAGTTATGTCTCTATAACCACACTGTACAGAAAGTAAATGTATATTGAGCAGAAAACAGTTATTCATGACAAATCTTACACCTGAGATTAAGAGTCCGCTAAATCGTCCCATTACATTTTGGCCTTATGTCCTATATTTTTATCTTATTTTATCAAAATGTGATTTTCTTCATTGTAATTTATTTATTAGTAGTTTTTAGATATAGACAACATATTTAAATATATAGTATCACCATTTTTTCTGTTTGGTAGAATCATACCATTTTAGTATGCCATACAGAATTATATACATCAATATTTTTGTCATTCAGCCTGGCCCACGACTCTGAGATGTTCTGAATTGGATTGGCCTCACAGAGAATAAAGTCCAAGCTACTTGCCAAGACCAGATGCCCCATATAATCTGGCTTTAGGCCAATTTTGCAGATTTCTCTTTGGCGGTAATCCCATAAATTCCTTATGACATGCAACGCTGTCCGTACTACAAACCTTTTCTATGCTCCTTCATATAACCATGAACTTCAAAATGCTGCCTATTCAACCATCAACTCCTAAGGAGCTGGTTATCCTCCAAGACAAAGCTCAATGTCAAGTCCCACTTTAAATCCTCCACCCCTCCCTGAGCACTGCTTTCCCTTCTTTCCCAAAAGGTTATTCTTCCTTCTTCTGTCTCCTTATATCTTTTGCTCGTACTTCTACACTTCTATGTTATGTTATATTTTAGTTAATGTATTTTACAGTATTATCTTTTCCATTAGACTGTTATGTTTTGCCATTTTTTTCTGATCCTCTCCCCCACAGAGCATAGAAAGGTGTCTAGCACGAATGCAGCTCTCAATACCATTTTTTTAAATAAATGGATAACAAAAACAATAAATACCATAGGAAAATACAAGAACTTTTAAAGTCCAAAAGAGAATGGTAATTATTAGCCACTAGGTTGTACAGAGTCACCTTCATGAAAGAAGTGGTAACTGATTTCGGCATGAAGAATAAGTAAGATGTGGAGAGAGAAGGAATTGTAACAGAATCAGAAAGAACCAAGATCTAGGAGCCTCCGTGCAGGGGCCATGAGGATGTGCTGCAGACCTCCAACTATAGGGACTATAATCAGTGAAGGGCCCCAACTGATGCCTCTGAAATTCACTGCAGCATCTGAGCTAAGGCCATACCTCCCATGCCCTGTTTCTTGATACTGACTGAGCACAGAGGGCATATTGTGGCAGACACATTCCTGGGAAACATAGGATTCCTCTGATGGCTGATTTTGGCTTGAGAACTCCCATATGCCTTTGGCTAGCCCAATTTAGGATGCTCTCACCAATTCTCTCTCCCTTCTTTTCTCAGAGTCAAACTTGGATCATGCTTTGAAGTTTCCCTTAGTCTTAACTGGCTCCCTCCTTATATTCTTCTACAAGGGCATTTTCTAAAATTCTTGCATTTCTAATCCCATTTTGGCATGGGCTTCTTGGAAGACTCAGACTGACACACAGAGTATAGAGTATGTATGGAGTAATTAGGGAATTAAAGCTGATGAAGCAAATTGAGACTTTGTTATTGAGAACAACATGCCAATTCAATACATTGTGCCAAGGCAGGATAAATCTTTATTTCCTAATATGAACATAACTGTCTATGTAGTTTTCAGAGTTCACAAGTGGCAAGGAATTTATAACTTCCTTTTGTGAATTATTTCATAGTTTAATCATCTTTCACAGCTCACTTAGGTCTTTACCAAATCCTTTGTGATTTAAGATCATTTCTTCCAGTTCAGTCTTCTGTGGTGATAGACTACAGCCAACTTTAGACATACTAAATTAACTACATCAACTCTTAGTCATAACAGGAATTCCTTCTACAATATTATGCACACGTGGTCTTGCAGGGCCATTTGCCACTTTTTCTATTTGATACAAAATTATTTTTCATTAAAATAATCTAATCATGGAATATCTGTTAGGCACTGAAAAAATTTTTCCTGTTTGAAGGCAGGAAAACAAAGATTTGTATGTTTACTTCAGAGGATTTTATGATTTCTAATGGGAAGTAAACAATTGTTCTTCTTTTCTCAAGTCTTTCAACTACTCTGCCTTCTATTGACAGAGTAAGAAATTCAATCTTCAATTATTTAAACTTAACATTTTATCCAATTAAAAATAACAGATTTTTTTTTTCTGCCAAAGATTTGAAACAGAGATAGAAAGCATGTGTGGGAAATTCTGTTATCTTTCCAGATCTCTGCTTGAATAAAATAAAGGCATTTGTCTGACCACGATAAGCACATTGTCTGATCCAGATCCTCCAAGTATGCAAATCAACAGGAAAAGTTCCAACAGCAAGACTTACCCATCTGCATAGAGTTTCAAAAATGGTGACGTACTTACCTAAAATAGAAAGAGAGATGACATTAGTGACAGTCATCGCAGCTTAGACACATAGTGAAAAACACATTCTAGAAGGCAGTTAGAGCATCTGCTCCCCTCACCATTGCCAAGACCCAGTTTTAAGGCTTTTGTTTATGACACAACAGTCCAGATGGTGGTGTCTCTCACTGTCCAAGTTTACTCTGAGTACACTTCATAGGTATTTGCTCAATAAATACTGAAAAAGATTATAACAATCAAGTAAGCAAGAACTATGATTTAATAACAACAGCAGATTTAACATCTATTGAGGGCTTACTTGCCTGCCAAGTCCAGTGCAATATGCTGTGTGTATTCTCCCATTTACTATTTAGATAGTGGACATGAGGTAAGTACTATTATTAACCCTATTGTAAAGATGAAGTAAATGAGCTTAGGGAAGTTCATTAACTTGCCTAAAGTCACTCACACAACTAGAAAGTGTTGGAGCTGAAGTTTTCATAGGCTCTCAGATTCTAGAGCCCACTTTCACAATCTTTATGCTACACTGTCAAAACCCATTGGGAAAGACACACACACACACATATATACACACTAATCATTAGTGTATATATATATGTGTGTATACATATGTATATAATTAGTAGTACTTTGTTAAATAATACATTCTAAAAATAGAAATGATCACAATGTTAGAACCTGGAAAAACGAACAATGCCTAGTACACAGCAGCCGTTCAATAATATCTGTTGAGTGAATGAAAGAATAAGCAAAGAAATGTCATTGATATTTAATAAATATACACAGGTTATATCTCAACACAACAAATATTTACCCACAGAGCACTCTACCATACAGCTTATTTCTTTCTTCCTACAGATGACTATGTACCACTATATGCTGATTATTTGAAGGTAAGAACTGAATGCTCTTAAGTGAGAAAGATGATCGATCGATCTAGACCAAATGACCCGGGGAGTTACCAAGGAGAGGATGGAGTTGTCAAATCTTCAAATGGCATGTTACTCAACACATAAAATCCTTCTGTAGTTGAAGAAGCAATTAACACCATTTAATAGTTAAATTTTCTTCAGCTTTTTGGTTACTCTTTTTGGTAGAGATTCTGATCAGCAACAAAACATTAAAGAAAGAAGTAGCTAAGAGAGAAATAGAAACAGGAGACTGGATATCTGAAAGAATGCTGTCAATTGAAAAACAAGAGAAATACCCAGCACCTCAAATTCATAAAGAGATAATCATCAAGTTATCTCATGTTTTGACATTAATAACATATCCAATGAATCAATTTTTAAAATAATTATAACACCCTAAAAGAAAACTACCCTCCAGTAGAATGCCACAAAGATACTCCTCGAGAAGAGCAACTCCAAGATACATAATTGTCAGATTCATCAAAGTTGAAATGAAGGAAAAAATGTTAAGGGCAGCTAGAGAGAAAGGTCGGGTTACCCACAAAGGGAAGCCCATGAGACTAACAGCAGATCTCTCAGCAGAAACTCTCCGAGCCAGAAGAGAGTGGGGGCCAATATTCAACATTCTTAAAGAAAAGAATTTTCAATCCAGAATTTCATATCCAGCCAAACTAAGCTTCATAAGGGAAGGAGAAATAAAATCCTTTACAAGCAAACAAATGCTGAGAGATTTTGTCACCACTTGGCCTGCCTTACAAGAACACTAAACATGGAAGGAAGCACTAAACATGGAAAGGGACAACTGGTATGAGCCACTGCAAAAACATGCCAAATTGTAAAGACCATCAATGCTAGGAAGAAACTGCATCAACTAACAAGCAAAATAAGCTAACATCATAATGACAGGATCAAATTCACACATAACAATATTAACTTTAAATATAAATGGGCTAAATGCTCCAATTAAAAGACCCAGACTGGCAAATTGGGTAGAGTCAAGACCCATGAGTGTGCTGTATTCGGGAGACCCATCTCACGTGCAGAGACACAAATAGGCTCAAAATAAAGGGATCAAGAAAGATCTACCAAGCAAATAGAAAACAAACAAAAAAGCAGGGGTTGCAATCCTAGTCTCTGGTTTAGACTTTAAACCAACAAAGATCAAAAGAGACAAAGAAGGCCATTACATAATGGTAAAGGGATCAATTCAACAAGAAGAGCTAACTATCCTAAATATGTATGCGCCCAATACAGGAGCACCCAGATTCATAAAGCAAGCCCTTAGAGACCTACAAAGAGACTTAGACTCCTACACAGTAATAATGGGAGACTTTAACACCCCATTGTCAACATTAGACAAATCAACGAGACAGAAAGTTAACAAGGATATCCAGGAATTGAACTCAGCTCTGCACCAAGTCAACCTAACAGACATCTACAGAACTCTCCACCCCAAATCACAGAATATACATTATTCTCAGCACCACATCACATTTATTCCAAAACTGACCATATAGTTGGAAGTAAAGCACTCATCAGCAAATGTAAAAGAACAGAAATTATAACAAACTGTCTCTCAGACCACAGTGCAATCAACCTAGAACTCAGGATTAAGAAACTCACTCAAAACTGCACAACTACATGGAAACTGAACAACCTGCTCCTGAATGACTACTGGGTACATAATGAAATGAAGGCAGAAATAAAGATGTTCTTTGAAACCAATGAGAACAAAGATACAACATACCAGAATCTCTGGGACACATTTAAAGCAGTGTGTAGAGGGAAATTTATAGCACTAAATGCCCACAAGAGAAAGCAGGAAAGATCTAAAATTGACAGCCTAACATCACAATTAAAAGAACTAGAGAAGCAAAAGCAAACACATTCAAGAGCTAGCAGAAGGCAAGAAATAACTAAGATCAGAGCAGAACGGAAGGAGACAGAGACATAAAAAAACCTCCAAAAAATCAATGAATCCAGGAGCTGGCTTTTTGAAAAGATCAACAAAATCGACAGACCACTAGCAAGACTAATAAAGAAGAAAAGAGAGAAGAATCAATAGACGCAATAACAAATGATAAAGGGGATATCACCACCAACCCCACAGAAATACAAACTATCATCAGAGAATACTATAAACATCTCTACACAAATAAACTAGAAAATCTAGAAGAAATGGATAAATTCCTGGACACATACACCCTCCCAAGACTAAACCAGGAAGAAATTGAATCCCTCAATAGACTAATAACAGGTTCTGAAATTGAGGTAATAATTAATAGCCTACCAACCAAAAAAAGATGGATTCATAGCCAAATTCTACCAGAGGTACAAAGAGGAGCTGGTACCATTCCTTCTGAAAATATTCCAATCAACAGAAAAAGAAGGAATCCTCCATAACTCATTTTATGAGGCCAGCATCATCCTGATACCAAAGCCTGGCAGAGACACACACAAAAAAAGAGAATTTTAGACCAATATCCCTGATGAACATTGATGCAAAAATTCTCAATAAAATACTGGCAAACCAAATCCAGCAGCACATCAAAAAGCTTATCCACCACAATCAAGTTGCCTTCATCCCTGGGATTCAAGGCTGGTTCAACATATGCAAATCAATAAACATAATCCAGTATATAAACAGAACCAATGACAAAAACCACATGATTATCTCAATAGATGCAGAAAAGGCCTTCAACAAAATTCAGCAACCCTTCACGCTAAAAACTCTCAATAAACTAGGTATTGATGGAATGTATATCAAAATAATAAGAGCTATTTATGACAAACCCACAGCCAATATCATACTGAATGGGAAAAAACTGGAAGCATTCCCTTTGAAAACTGGCACAAGACAGGGATGCCCTATTCCACAACTCCTATTCAACATAGTGTTTGAAGTTCTGGCCAGGGCTATCAGGCAGGAGAAAGAAATAAAGAGTATTCAATTAGGAAAAGAGGAAGTCAAATTTTCCCTGTTTGCAGATGACACGACTGTATATTTAGAAAACCACATTGTCTCAGCCCAAAATCTCCTTAAGCTGATAAGCAACTTCTGCAAAGTCTCAGGATAAAAAAATCAATGTGCAAAAATCACAAGCATTCCTATACACCAATAGCAGACAAACAGAGAGCCAAATCATGAGTGAACTCCCATTCACAATTGCTTCAAAGAGAATAAAATACCTAGGAATCCAACTTACAAGGGATGTTAAGGACCTCTTCCAGGAGAACTACAAACCACTGCTCAACGAAATAAAAGAAGACACAAACAAATGTAAGAACATTCCATGTTCATGGATAAGTAGAATCAATATTGTGAAAATGACCATACTGCCCAAGGTAATTTATAGATTCAATGCCATCCCCATCAAACTATCAATGACTGTCTTCACAGAATTGGAAAAAACTACTTTAAAGTTCATACGGTACCAAAAAAGAGCCTGCATTGCCAAGACAATCCTAAGCCAAAAGAACAAAGCTGGAGGCATCACGCTACCTGACTTCAATCTATACTACACGGCTACAGTAACCAAAACAGCATGGTACTGGTACCAAAATAGAGATATAGACCAATGGAACAGAACAGAGCCCTCAGAAATAATACCACACATCTACAACCATCTGATCTTTGATAAGTCTGACAAAAACAAGAAATGGGCAAAGGATTCCCTATTTAATAAATGGTGCTGGGAAAACTGGCTAGCCATACGTAGAAAGCTGAAACTGGATCCCTTACTTACACCTTATACAAAAATTAATTCAAGATGCATTAAAGACTTAAATGTTAGACCTAAAACCATAAAAACCCTAGAAGAAAACCTAGGCAGTACCATTCAGGGCATAGGCATGGGCAAGGACTTCATGTCTAAAACACCAAAAGCAATGGCAACAAAAGCCAAAATTGATAAATGGGATCTAACTAAGGAGCTTCTGCAGAGCAAAAGAAACTACCATCAGAGTGAACAGGCAACCTACAGAATGGGAGAAAATTTTACAATCTGCCCATTTGACAAAGGGCTAATTTCCAGAATCTACAAAGAACTCAAACCAATTTACAAGAAAAAATCAAACAACCCCATCAAA